TAATCCACCAGGACTAACACAAAGCGGTAGCCGCGTGCACTCCGGTGAAACGGCCCGATGAGGTCCATGCCAGTGTGCTCGAACGGGACCTCTATGAGTGGAAGCGAACGCAAAGGCGCTTTTGGTATGGCCGGCAGATTAACAAGTTGGCAGTCCGGGCAGGACGCGCACCAGCGGCGCACATCCGCTCGGATGCCCGGCCAATAAAATCGGGCCGTTATTCGCTCCAGAGTTTTTTCGTATCCCATATGCCCTGCCATGGGGTTATAATGAGCCGCCTGGAAAATCGTTTCCCGGCGGCCCTGCGGCACCAACAGCTGGGTGTGCATCACCTCCGTGCGAGCGTCACGACTCACTCGGTATAACTTATCTTTCGACAAAATGAAGCGTGGGTAGGTCCGCACGGCTTCAGGGCGCACCACGTGACCATCAATCTCAATCACTTGGTCAAAGGCTGAGCGTAGGGTATCGTCACGAGACTGCTCCAGTGGGAAATCACCCGTGGGGGGAACTTCCGGAGCCGGCGGGACTACCTGTGAAGGACCCGCCGTCTCCCCCTCCCCAGAGTCAGTGTCGGACGACCCCGCGTCACCACTGAGCGCCGCGCAGACACTACATGCTACTAGCGGTCGTGACCGCACCCCCGCGTACTGTCCCAACAGATGACAAAACCCCGGCCAATTCGTGCCCAGAATTAGGGGATGCGACAGGCGCGGGCTAACCGCAGCCGTTATTCTATGCGTTTTACCCTTATACTTCAATAACAGCGGCACTATGGGATACCTGTGAACATCACCATGCACACACCTCACCTCCACTCATTCTGCCTCCAGCAATGCCCCGGGGCGAACCAAACTTTGGTGCACGAGGGTCTGCGTGCAGCCTGTGTCCACCAAAGCATGGCGTATACCCCCTCGAGTCCTTACCGGAATGCTGTATGTCCCTCCCGGACCGGGAGAGGGCGCTGGAGCACCGGCAACGCGGAACACCTGCCCCACCTCCATCAGAGGACAGTCCCTCCTCAGGTGTCC